TTTATTGAGTAAAAAAACTCATCGAATTTTTTGGCGAATATGTTGCGATTTTCTATCCATATAAAAAAATGTGTTTATTCGTTATTTGGAAGTCAATGCGACTATGAAAATGTATACAACAAATTTTTAACACTTCTGAGAAAAACGTTTGAAATTTGGATGAAAATTTGATGCATGTTTTTTCAGTGTTCTACAAAGTAGAAACACGCAGGGATCCCGAAAATTATTCTTCACACCCAATAAATGGAGAAAGACAGTAATTCAGCGAATTTAGTAATTTTTATGAAAGGTTAAGACTTATCTGTCAGATTTTCAGAATATATGAGACATTTGATTATATTTTAATGAAAATTGAGTGAAAGCTAAAAGAAAAGTCATTTCGTCCGATAGTTTAATGATAACCATAAGGTAAGCTACCCTAAGTTATTTATTTGAAAATAATTAACATAATTTAGGGAATTCAAAAGTAGTAAAATTAAAAAATAGATTTAATGACAAAAAAAATTTTAATTCTAGTCTACATTTGTATGTAAGTACTATTTTTTTAAGTTCCTTTGATGTTTTTCACATCATTGCTTAATATAGTGAGTTACAAAATCCTTTATAGGGGGATTTTTTTTACAATATTCGCACTATTATTTATGCTATATTTTTTCATACATTTTTTATAAAACAAAGTGCATGAGGTAAAAATATTGGTAAATCCTAATTTAAAATTTTACATACATACATATGTATGCATAACGCAAACAAAAAATCGAAGGATATTTTTGGTCGCTTTAAACTTGCAATTTATAATGCTAAAATTAAATAAGCAATAAAACCGCACCACTAATTAAATTGTTTTTTTTTTTTTTTAATTCGCATATACAAATGTTTTGAATTGTTAAATTTTAAAGTTTTGGTTCCGAAGGTTTGGTCAAGTCATGCACTATACTTTCATAAAAATTTGAAGAAAACACCAAACATAAAAATCTGGTGAATACCGTACAAAAATCACTTAATGATCGGTTTTCTAACTTACAGTATATCATCAAAGGCAGGAGCTAGAGCTGGAAAACTATCTATGGTTTTTGACTATCGAAAACATCGATGGTCTTGTAATCACTATCGATAGTTTTCACTCATACATACATTATTCAGTAACATACATATTTTAGAGCGCATATGGTGCTTGAAGCCAAAAATAGTTGATAAGCTTTTGTTCCTTAACAAAAATATCGACAAATTCTGATCTCATTTTCAATAAAAGTTGTTATGTTTAATTTTTGGACTTTTTCAATCAAAACTATAGATAGTACTATCTATGGTGTCGACATTTTCGATACTATCGATGGTTGTGACTATGGACTATCGAAACTATCGATGGCCATGATCATCGATAGTGTTCCAGCTGTAGCAGGAGCAGCTGCTGCTCCCACTGTGTCAGTTTCTGTTTTCGTCAAAAA